TCTCACGGCCGTTGGCAACGCGACGCTAATCGGGGAGCTGAACAACATGACTGAGAAGCGTCTTGGCCTACTTTTAAACACGAGTACAGTCCTATCCCTCGGCTACAAGGGTCCCGACTTCCAGTCCGTTTCGAACGTCTTCCCGATAGTCATTGGATTGCTAGACGAGCCGACCGGAACATTTAACCAATCTGTCACCGACTTAATATTTAGCGATGCTTTCGTCGCCTACACGGATGAACCGATGAATAATTCGGTGCCATTTGATTCATCCAAGATTAAATATCTCGAAGTTGCATTTTGGTGGTGTACTAAAACTTTCTCGACAAGGGTTACCGCAGGTAATTCGACCACGGTTGAGATATCAACACGGTCACAGCTGAAGGCACCCTCACGAACGCTTAATATGCCGTGGGCAACGGACTTTTCTCGCTGTTATCGAATGGGAACCTGCAATGAGAATTACGGTGGAGATGAGGCGCAGCTTGAGCCCCCACCCGGCGCCGATGGCCCTGATGGCAACTACACCGTACACCTGTGGTCGGAGCTGCTCATGTCGGGGCTCTTTGCATCTACGATCACTGACTCTGTTTTGGTGAACCCAAGGCTCGGGGTTGTTTTCTCCGGCGGCGGCGTTGCCAAAGCCTTTTGGGTTTGGTTGCTAGGAGACTTTTTATCCACCCAGTCGCCTGATCCCGAGACGCAGCTCGATAACATTCGCCATCTTGTTGCCAATACAGCGCGTTCCGTAACAAACCTGTAAGTTGATCCCCGGAACTTAACCTAGAGAATAGCAACGAAACGAAAAGTTAGAAATGCTAATTTGGAGGGCAGTTTGCGCCAGTGCAATACACTCCTCGGCAGACGTGATGCCGCTGCTATCGTGAAGGGCAGCGTTATTACGTCTCAGGCTTATGTGCAGGTGCGATGGGTGTGGATGACACCTCTTGCAGCTCAGCTAATACTTACGGGGGCTTTCTTGATCTTCACGGTGTCTGCCACAAGGAGGGCGCGAATGCAGGTCGTCAAGTGCTCCAGTCTGGCATTGCTATATGCACTTGACGAACCCACGCGGCAATGTGTCGGGAGCATCAAAGACCTTGAAAGTATGACTCAAATGGCAAGAATGGCTGGCGTTCGGCTAGAACGGAGCACTTCCCAGATGGCGCTATCTATGGTTGAGGATGAAAAGGACGAATGCGTAACCGGGCATTATGAATGAATGTTAGTTCTTGAGGCTTGTCCAGAAAAACTAGAAGCAAGTAGCCTGTCAACTGTGAAGAAGAGGGCGGCAATAGGAGGCTGGCTAACGCCTTGAAAATGGAGTTCATACATTGACCTGAGCCTCCCTGCACGAAAAACGCAAAATTGATGGAACTTCTAAGCCTGCAAACCAGGGTCCAAACTGATACGTATTACTAGAGATAAGGGTTACTAAAATGTGAAACGTAGGGAGGAAGGAGAGGAAAGAACCTGCGGCGAGGCAACCAAGAGAAGGAGGTGAACATAAACTGTTGGGAAAACCCAATTAATCCTCATTAACCTCGAGTACAAATGAGTCAAAACCCCTTGCCGCTATTAACCCTATCCTCGATTATGAACCAGAACCGTCTCCCATCCTCAGAATACTCGTGAACACTCTTATAAGTCATACACTCACACGGAGGTGCAAGACTGTCCGGCTATTATCGTAGTAGGAGTTGTTCTAGTAGCGTTGCCAATTACGCCCCTAGTGTATATAGGACTTCCGATCTGTGAAGTCTGTGGGTTAATAGTCGTGCTAATAATGTATGTAAGCAAAGTACGGAGTCGGGTCTTTACCTTGACTTGCAATGTTACACTTATCCTGTGCCTTTAGTCTTGTAGTCTTTCTTTTTCTTAGTCGAGTACCTACACACGATGAAGGCCCCCTAATCTATAAGTTGGACAGCCATAGTCGATCTACCCCTATTCCTATAGTGTAGCTAGTAGCTGGGTGTAGTTGACTGTATCGAAGGCCCCCGAAATATCGAGTTATAGGAGGGAGGCTGTAGCCCTCTGCTTCTAAGCCTCCTGGGCCTAGGCAACCACTAGCGGAATGGCTAGTTCAGTTAACCGGTGCTCCCTATTACCTACCTATTCGGTAGGTAGTAGCCTGTAGGCCTCTGCCGCCCTAGTGATTCTCTAGGCAACTACAGCCTCTATAACCTTCCCAGGGGTTAGTAGTAGGGCTATAGGGTGGTATCCTCTGGGGGTTTAGTAGAAGACACGACCCCACAACCGGACATTGTGATCGGCATCGCCAACCGACAGCCCCCTGAATCCAACCACCACCACTCCTTTAATTCTTTACCAAAACACACCAAGTTCGAGATGGCTACTATGCGTGAGCAGAATATTGCGTCTGCAATAGATGAAGTCAATCAGGGCGGTACCCAGAAAGCAGCCGCGGCAAAATGGACCGTACCGATGTCAACCCTCTCTGAGCGCCTCCATGGCACTACCACCAAGAAAGCTAGTAAGATAGAGACCCAGAGGCTCTCTCCAAGCCAAGAAACCTTCCTTGTAGACTAGTGCCTCACTCGATCGCTGCTCTCCGGACACGAAAGCGGCTGCGGAATTGTCGGTCCATCTGTCGGACATCCTGAGATCCACGTGACCGAAGGATGACAATATTTAAATCCTGGGTAACAAGGGAAGCTCAGAAGACACCTTGCCAACGTCGCGCAGGAAGTGCACAACATGCCCACGATACTTGTATTGCTGCCCACGAACCTACTTTTCGTTAGTCACTATCCCATGGCTCAGATCCTCCCCACATACCGTGAATATATTGACGCTAACGTGTATTCTGGCAATGAACATCTCTTCCAAAGGTTCCAGACGGGGCAGATCATCAGGGACACGGCCAAAATCCAACTTATTCTCAGCAGAATAGAAGAAAAGCTCATACTGTCGCTTCTTATCATCCTTATCATGGCAGCGCTTGCAAACCCCGCTTGCCCTTGGCGCCACGTCAAACCACCGCTCCTTGCAGCGCACGCAATATCGCATCTCCTCGGCGACAAGTGCCTCGTCGAATTCCCTCTTGATGGCAAGGTCTTCTTCGTTGAGGGGCGACTCCTCGTCGTCACCTGTAAACTGGGGGGGAGGCTCGTCGAACTCGCGAGGTGTGCGTTCTTCGGGGGAGGGTCGCCGACGGGGGCGGCCGACAGGGTTTCGTGCTAGCCGAGGGCGTCCACGAGGGCGTCCGCGAGCAGGCGAAGAGGGAGAGGGTGGTGGCCGTCGTCGGGGGAGCATAGGTCCCATGCGAGGGAGCCGCGGTGGCACAGCTCGCTGGTTATTATCGACAGCTCCCATCTCTTCGCCCTGGGCACCTTGTCCATCAGGCTCAATAAGATATATAAGGTTAAGAAGTTTATATAGTACTACCTATAATATAATGTTGTAAGTACTAATCAATAGTAGCTTATTAGTAACCTCTAGCCTATCTGACTTACTAATATACTTTCGAAATAAGTTATCGCTATAGATTTTATTGTTAGCTTACTAATAGTATTATTAGAAGGTATACCCTAGTAACTAAAAGTTAAAGATAGCTTCGATAGCCTAATGACTATATTTGTAACGGTTCCAGGAGTTTATTTCAACTAGCTGGTAACGACACTGAACTTAGGGAAAGAAAGGGAAAAGAAAGAAAAGAACTATTCTAGCGGTGGGAGCTTCGTCTGACCAGAGGAAGGTTGTGGGTCGTGTGGCTGCCTTGATGCCTGGTGCCGTCGTCGAGGGCAACGGGTGGTCTGGTGGACCGCATGTGGGAATAGCTTCAGTCAGGGGTCGGGAGTTCAACAGGGGATTTTCAGGGTTAGGGCTGGCCGAGGGCTACCAAGGCCTCGTCGGGCTCAGCCCGTTACATCCAGTATTATAGCTAAAATGTAGGGTCCAGGGCTTACTAGGGCCCGAGAGGTCTATATCAAGTATATTCGCAGTGCGATAGCCTATGGAGCCTCTAGTTACTATATGATGAACCTACCTCTGGACCCGTCTTGTTAGGGGTTTAGCTTCGCCGAAGGTACTTCTCAAGGGTGCTTAGGTTCGGTGTAGCCAAAGGGTGTATAACAAAACTTGTTTCAATAGTAGACTTCTAAGCTTGTAGCGAACTATAATTGTGATTGCTAACTGGAGAACTCCTAGAGCTCTCTAGAACGAGTGACTATATACTCCTAATTCCATGGTGCTCAAAGTGCTCACTGCCGGGTCCCTGAGCATTCTGAGCAGACGCTCGAAGTGCTCACGTCGCTCGTCCTGAGCGGATTGAGCATATACTCAATCTCTTGGTATGGCCCCCAATGATCACCTTGCCGCTATTCGTAATGATTGGACCGGGGCGTCCCGCGCCCCTACTTGGTTGGTTCTTGATCCGTAATACGATGCCCCTCCTCCTAGGTCGACGTCCCGTCGGCCTAGCTTCCTAGGGCCTTTTAAGGTAGAACTAATAGCCCTCGATAGTTGTCTAGTAGGTTCTCCCGCGCTTACCCGTCCTTATTATGCCTTCTAACTATATGTGTAAGAACCGCTCTTAAAAGTCTAGTACCGATCGCCGCCGCAATCGTGTAAAATTCCTCAGCGTTTTTGCCGTTGAGATGGTCCGTTGTACCCGTTGCGAAACTAAAAATCTCCCCGACTGCCGTGTCCCCGAGGGCGACGATACTTGCACCAACTGCTCCTTAGTGTGCAATCAGTCCTGCGACTCCTTCGGATACGACGAGTCTGCCTTCTCTCGTATAGTTGCTCGAAAACAGCAGCTTGACAAGGAGCAGCGCGAAACTGACCAAGCCCTGGGTGCTGCGTTGGCGAAAGTCGATCGCTTACGTCGACAGCGCGAGGCCCTCGAGATAGAGGCCCTCCGCATGTTCCGGAAGGAGGGGGAGGTTCTGGCGGAGCAGGAGCGCCGGGAGGCCGCTTCGTCTTCCGGGGTATATGAGTACGCTCCCCGTTCCTTCCCTTCAACAAATGGAAATGATCCGATGGCGTAACCGATAGCGCGCTTGTTTCCTGACGAGGGGTTGTGGGTTCGACTCCCACTCGGGTCCCTGGTCGAGACAGGAAAAGTCGGCCCCTTGATGCGCCGCTGCCGAGGTGCCCAACCCTCAATCTCACACTGATCGTGTCGCGGAGCGTGCCACCCAAGCACGATCCGCTTTGTACCTGCAGACGGGAAAACCATTTGTATTCCCCGAGCCCTTGGCATATTGCCTTGCAAACTCGGCCTAGGACAAAGAATCTCACAACCGGTCGGGTTGGTTTCAGGACCATGCGTTCCTTTCAGGTAATGCGGGCATCCCTTTTGCAGTACGCCTGTGCCCGGTGGTAGCAAAACAAACCAGCAAAGCCGAGCGAGTCACCGCCCGCTGCGGATCTTCGGCCTTGGTTGCCGACGTGCCCTACAGCTAAATCTCCTGTCCCTTGGCCATCTCGTGCTGTTGATATCATTCGGCTCAATAACTTGCTTACACTAGTTCCCAAGCGTGGAGCTAACCACTTCTGTTTCGGGAAGTTGATTGTGAATTTGTGTGTCTGGGGACGGGTAGGCGCCCTTCCACATTTGGCACGAAATACGATGGCTCAAGGGCTGGAACTTGCCCTTGTTAGCAAACACAAAAAATAGCTACTGCTTGCTTTCAGTACTCGGAGACAAAGAGGTGTATGTGCCCTCTCTGTTACGAAATGCGAATGTGTCCCCGGAAACGGAAAGGGCCAAAGTGGCAAAGGTAGGTATCCAACACCCATTCTGTACCCGTTGCATTGCAGTTCGTCCTCGTCCAAGTTGACGACCGACTAGGACAATCATCTCCAACTGAGTACTAAACATGGATGTTAACGTAGATGCTTTGATTCCGAATTCTTTCATCCGTCATCTGGTCAGACGTTAAGTTCTCAGCAGGGATGGGGGGCCCTTTGAAAGCTATAATTCGCCCCGAGTTCGCTGACGAAATACGGGACCAGCACGTGTGACTGGGTCATCAGGCTCTTTGGGCCTTTCCTTATTTCGTAAAGTTATCAATCCTCAACTAACAAAGAGCCCGGGGTGGCTATCGAACAGAGCGCAAAAGAGCGAAAAACGTGAATTCGCGAGGGCTCGTTCGGGACCGGAATAGCGCTGCTCAATATCTCGTCAATGACCTTGCTGGGCGGGCTGAGAAGCGGTATGAGCTAAATCATAACGACACGGAGGAGGCGGTCATCCAATCAGGCCTATACTGCAATACTCGTCTCCAGACGAGTCATTCCGTTTCTCGGGTATCGTCCTTTTTCGACACCAGGGGCTGAGGGCCGAGAGAGGAGGTACTCAGCTGGAGCAAATCATATCAGGGCCAGTCTGAGATTGGGTCAAGTGTGCAACCAGGAAAGGGGGTTGTGGCGTTGGATAAGCCAGGGGTCTTCCAGCTCCCCAAGTTCAAACTCTCCTGGAATGCTCACCGGGTCAACAATGGAACTGCTTGAACCATCCAAATCATAATTTTGTTGCAACCTAAGTCATACCCCTCAAACGCCAAAGACTAGGTACTCCCAGTTAACATGCTTTTAAGTCTACTCGAACCCCTGCGGTTATCAAAAAAAGAAAAAAAAAACATCATCCCAGATTTGACACCAACCCCAACACCAACACCACCACCCACCCCCAACCCCCATCCCAACCCATCACTCAACCCGCAACAACCTCGAGCCCCTCGGCCCAGCCCTCAGAACCCGCCCCTGATCCAGCACAATCTCAAAGTCCGAATCCTGCACCGCCTCCGCCTTGTGCGCAATAGTAATAACCGTACTGTTCCTCAGCTCCTCCCTCAACAGCCTCTGAATATACGCCGCCGTCTCGGCATCGATCGACGCGGTAGCCTCGTCCAGAATCACCACGGGGCTGCGGCGCAGGATGGCGCGGCCGAGCCCGACCAGCTGGCGCTGGCCCTGCGAGAGGTTCTTGCCGCCGCCGTCGACGCGGCTGTCGAGCGTGAAGGACTCGGAGTCGGCGGCCCCGCCCGCCCCGCCCGACCCGCCCAGCGCGCGGTGCAGCACGTCGGCGAGCTCGGCCTCGTCGCGCTCGCCGAGCGGGTCGAGGTTGTCGCGCAGCGTGCCGGGGAAGAGGACCGGGTCCTGCGCGACAAAGGTGATGTTGCGTCGGAGCGCGTGCTTGTCCACGCTGGCGAGGTCGACGGCGCCGATGCGGATGCTGCCGCCCGTGCCGGCGTCCGGGTGGAGCGTGCCGAGCAGGGTGAGCGCCAGCGTGCTCTTGCCGGAGCCGGTGCGGCCCGTTACCGCCACGTTGGCGCCGCCCGGGATGGTGAAGCTGACGTTCTTGAGGACGGGATCGAGGTTGGGCGCGTAGCGGAGGGTGACGTCGTCGAAGACGATGTCGTCGCCGTAGTGCGGCCACGAGGCCGGCGGGCTGACGGTGCCGTGGGGTTCCTGGTCGAGATCGAGGAGCTCGACGACGCGCTCGACGCTGACGAACTGCATCTGCATCTCACCGTAGCGCCTGCAAAGGTTGTGCGTGGATTGCACAAAGTTGGAGGCCGAGGCGAGCACGAATCCCACGGTGCCGCTCGACAGGCCCGAGAGAATGGCGGTCAAGGTCAGGGTGAAGGTGCTGATCGCCGAGAGCAGGTCGAAGCGGAACTGCAGCCAGGTCTGCAGGCACCAGTACATGTGGTCCATCTTTTGGAAGGCGTCGCAGCTGGTGATGATGCGGTTCTGGAAATGGGGCTCGGAGCGGAACGCACGTACAGTGGTTAGTCCTTCGACGAGGGTGCCGAAGTTGGAGAACAGCGGTGACAGCGATACCGTCTCGAGGCGGCGCAGAGACTGCGAAGTCGGCAGGAAGCGGTCAAAGATGAAGACAAAGAGGGCCGTCATGGCGATACTAATGACCAAAAACGAGGGTGTTGCCGTGGAGATGACGGCCATCGAGGTGAGCCAGCCGAGCGAGTACCATGCTACTGACATGAGCTGCCCTGCGATCTGTCCGTCGATGGTGCCCATGTCCGACGTCAGCCGGTTCATCAGCCGACCAACTGGCGTCACGTCGTAGAACCGGAAGGTGGCGTTGGTCACTCGATGCATGGCTCTCTCGAAGAGGTTCTTGCCGGCCTTGTAGATGATGACCACAAGCGCCACATCCGACATGGTCTGGGTGAGCACCTGAACCATGGATAAGATGAAGAAGCCGAGGAGCCATGGGCGGACGTCCTCGCTGGGTGGCGGTAGGTGACGTCCTAGGTCGAACCAGCCAGTCTCCGCCACGCTCCGTTGCTGAATGATGCTCTGTGAAGCAACCACAGGTGGTACATACACCATCCCGTCGCCTACGCTAGCGAGGTGGACGCCCTCCGGTGTGTCTCGGTACTGCTCGCCCCATTCCTTGAGGAACCAAAAGTACCCGATCTTGACGACGCGGAACAAGGTGAAGAAGCCAACCATGGTGGCCCACCAGCGAAGCTTTCCGGCCTTGACATATTGCCAGTAAACAGAAGCCAAGACACTTCCATGGACGCGGTGCTCGTCCTCGATGAACTTGTCGGGGATTGGCTCATCCTCTTCCACCGCAGCCGTGGTCTCATCCCCGGAAGCGGCGGCGTCGGCAATCTCGGCCAGGTGCTCGAGTTCCTCCTCGTTGTTCTCCAAGTCTTTCTTGTCAAAACTCTCTACACGACCTCCCTTGTCGACCTCGATGATTTGGTAGGCGTAGGGCGTGACAATGTCCACGCGATGGGTGACAAAGATGACCAGCCTACCGGCCGTCAGGGGCGAGTTCTTGGCGCCAAAGAGATTCCGCAGGATGGCGGTAGCCGTGTGATGGTCTAGCGCCGCGATGGGGTCGTCGAGCAGTAGGATGCGGGCCTGGCTGTAGATAGCCCTGGCTAGCGCGACACGGGCTCTCTGGCCGCCGGATAGCCCTACACCATTCTCCCCGATCAGAGTGAGGTCCTTGCAGCGAAACATGTTGAGGTCGTCGCGCAGGCAGCAGGCGTCGATGACCTGCTCGAACCGGGCCTTGTCGTAGACGGCCGAGAAGAGGATGTTCTGCCGGATGCTCATGCTCTCGAGCCAGGGCGTCTGGGCGCAGTACCCGATCATCTCGGCGGGCACGATGCGGTCGCCCCTCCGCTGGTCCAGCTCGCCCAGAATCGCCTGCAGCAGAGCCGTCTTGCCGATGCCGACCTTGCCACACACCACCGTCAAGCCCGGCCCGCACGTGATGGACACATCCCGCAACACCTTCTTCACAGCGCCGGGCCACGAGAAGGTCGCATCATTGAGCACGATCTCCAACTCTCCGGGCGGCCCAAACTCGCCTCCGACCCCAAGACCGACCAGATCCCCGTCCAAATCCTCCTCCTTCTCCGGCTCCAGCATAAACTCCTCAATCCTGCCCATGGCGACCCTCGAGTTCAAGAAGATCGTCACCAGATCCGGCAGTTCCCTCAAGCTATTCTGCAGCATCCCAAACAAATCCAGCGCCGGAAACGCCACATCCACCGTCAACTCCTTCCCACTGACCACGGTATACGCCCAGAACCCCGCAACGGGAAACAGATACGCCGTCGTCATATTCACCATGGCAATGGCCTTGCCGACGACATTACTCTGGACCCTCTTGCGCAGCTCGGCGCGGCGGCTCTCCATGATGGTATCCAACCAAGCATCCTGCCAGGCGTACCAGCGCAGGTGGCGGATGGCCTCGACGAACTGGGAGGTGCGCTGCAGCTTGGCGTCGGTGACGTCGCGGCGCACGCGCTCGATGCTCAGCAGCAGCCGCATCAGCAGCACGTTGAGGGCCATGCCGGCGAGCAGGATGAGGATGCCGACGAGCGAGGCCGGGCCGAGGATGCGCCAGAGCAGGAAGAGGCAGAGCAGGAAGTTGAGCGGCTTGGTGGTGAGGTTTGGCGCCTCCCAGAAGCGCTGCGCGATCTCGTACGAGTCGTGGCGGAGGAGGTTGAGCACTTTGCCTGTTGATGCCGGGGTGAAGGGGGCGTCTTGTTTGGTTGGGGACGGGGTGCGGGGGTTGAGGCTGTTGTAGCCGCGGTGGACGAGGGAT